GGAGACCACGCGGAGATCGACGCTCCCGCAGTCTCCCGTCTCTCTTGCCCTCGACCCCTTTCCCCACTTCTGGGGTCCCAGCCCCTTTCTTCCCCCCACCCCCAGGGTCTCTGACGGCCCCCCCAGCCCCTCTCCTCCCCCGCCCAGCCCCCTCCTTACCGGGGGTCTCCTTCCCCCCTTCGCTTCCGGGGATCCGGGACAGCGCCCCCGCCAGCAGCAGCAGCACCAGGGGGAGCCCAGCGGAGCCCATGGAGGCCGCCCCACAAGCGCCCCCAGAGAGACGAGAGACAGAGACGCGGAGGCTCCCAGCCCCAGAGGCGGAATCGGTGGGTCTGATTGGGGGGGAGGGGGCGTTTCCCTCGAACTTCGGAACTGGGAAGGCCCAGGAAAGCGGAGGGACCAATGGGATTTCTCCCTTCTGCAGCGTCATCGGTCTCCGGGCAGAGCCTCCCTTGACTTCACCCGATGGAGGAGATAGTTCGGCGCAGAGAGAGAAGCGGAGAAAGTGGGAGGGGGGACTTTTCAGTCTTGGGGGCGGGGACTGAAGCTTCGGTGGGGGGGTATTTCATGACAGCTCCGCAGGGGAGTGTGCACTTCCTTTGGGGCCCCGCCCCCGTATGATTCTCAAACAGCTCTCCTTCTTGGGTCTGGCCAGTTTAAAGAAAAGAAGAAACAGGGGCGACACGAGAGCAGAATTCCAGAATTTGAGGGGCTGCCCCAAGGAAGAGGAGGGGGTCACGTTACTCTCCAAAGCACCAGAGGGAAGGATGAGAAGCAATGCTTGGAAACTGATCAAAGAGAGAAGCAACCTGGAATCAAGGCGGAAATTCCTAACAGTGAGGACAATTAACCAATGGAACAACCTGCCTCCAGAAATCGTGGGTGCTCCATCATTGGAGACTTTTAAGAAGAGACTAGACCACTAGACGGTCACTTGTCTGAGATGGTACCATGGGTTCTCCTGCTTGAGCAGGGGGCTGGACTGGAAGACCTCCAAGGTCCCTTCCAGCTCTATTCTATTCTATTCTATTCTATTCTATTCTATTCTATTCTATTCTATTCTATTCTATTCTATTCTCTATTCTCTATTCTATTCTCTATTCTATTATATTCTATATTCTATATTTTATATTTTATACTCTATATTCTATATTCTATCCTATCCTATCCTATTCTTTGTGCCCCTGGACTGGAGGGGTGGATTAGATGCCCTTTTAGTTCCCACAGTGCCCAAGGGGAACCCAGGCTGGAGCTGCCGAATTTGAGGGGCTCCTCTGGGCTCCTCCCCTCCAATATGGAAGGAGGAAGCCCCCAGTAGCTGCATCGGATGACAAGAAGGGAGGAGCAGTCCCACAGGCAGCCACGATTTGGGGGT